ATTTGTGCCCTTCCCCGCCTTACCCCCTCCAACAAAAGCACCGCTTTTTATATTTCTGGAAAAACTTGCAGAGCACGGATTGGACACCTCAGCCACCTTAAAACTCACCAGTAATCCTCTCCCCCCCACCCTGCAGACATCATCCTTATATCAAGGGATAGCTGATTATTATTACATGACTGACTTCCAGAGCCAATCAAAAAGCTTTCTGCCCAAGTAGTTTTATTATAGTGCCTGTGTAGAGATGCCTGTCTGTTGTGACAGGCTTAACTTGGGGATAGGACTGTTGGAATTTATAGCTGAATCCTTTTTAAATTATTAAGAAATGTGGCAGCTGAGATACCTGTGGAGTATTGCTGAACAGCTCAGTTCTGAGAGGATGGTATGTGACCTTGGTTTGAAGATGTTGGGGTTTCTGTCCAGCTAAGCAGTGCCTTTTGTCCACATGCTTTCAGGAAGAAGTTTAAGACTCGTTCGGGGGACACAGTGCGACTCATTGACCTGCTGGATGAGGGACTGAAACGATCGATGGACAAACTGAAGGACAAGGAGCGGGACAAGGTAACCATGATAGGTTATTTTTCTCTCTTGTATGCAGGCTCTGTGGTGTAGCATTTGACTTCCTTACTTGTGCATGCACTTTAGGGCATGCCTATCCCATTTCCATGGTGGCCAGAAACCAAGATCTTGAGAGCAGTGACTCTTGAGCTATCCTCATGATAATGTCCTGTGTCTTGGATGAGCATGTGTGGAGCAGGAGCAGGTGGTTAGTGTGCTCCTTAGTGCATATTTCAATTTATTTTACTGCCCACAAATTGTTCTTGAGGTTCTTTGCTCCTGCAGCTCCAAAATCTTGTAGCAGGCACTGAAGCCAATTACCAAAGGAGTTTGATCTACAGTTCTGAGTTACTAAGGGTTTCTTTGAGGCTGCAGGTCTCTGCCGGCACAACAGCAGCACTGGCTGGTGATTGAGCTTTTCAAATTTACAGTGCTTTGAACATTTTATTGCTGGTTCCAGGGCAGTGGATCAGAAGATGAAAAATGTTTGTCTCTAGAACTGTTCTGCAGAAGCAGTCCTACCACAGTGTCTGGCAGCCTTTTGCAGTGGGAGACTTTTTCATAAGGAGAAAGAGTGAGAGGGAGGAGGAGAATGGGGTAAGTGGAGAACAGAGGAAAGCCAACAAAGGATGTAGAGAGGGGGAAGCAGCTCCAGAACTTAGGACTGTTGTTTGGACAGAAATTCTCTAAGCAGAGGTTAGCGGCGGGTAGCTGAGGAGGTGTCTCAGGCAAACTGTCTCATGCTAAAAGAAACAGCCATCTTTGTTGTTGTACAGCTGCAGTGTCAGAATGATGGCACCTTGGGGAAAGGCCAGACCACTTCATTATGATGGGTCCTTGTCTTACAAGGTCCCTTCCAGCCCTACTTCTCTGTGATTTCTATGAATGCACTTGGGGAACATAAACTCCCTTCTCCAGCTGGAGACAGCTGACTCCCCAAAGATCCAGCAGGTGGTGGTAGAACACAAACTGTTCGTGTGCAGTGTTGAGGCTGGGCAGCTTTCGCTGCCTTACTGAGCAGTGATGTTTGTTGATACTGAACTTGATTCCCCAATGAGATGAGCATTTAAAATGGCTTAAACCTTTCTTCCCCCAGAGTTAGCCATGCGGTTCAATTTCTGTGGGTTAGAGTTATTCAGTAAGACTATGCATTATTCCAAAGAGCCTTCTGTTAGAGTTAGAGCAAGTTGCCATGAGACTCCTAGACTGCAGAGGTTAGCTCTTCTAGCCTAGAAATGGCTTCAACAACACGTTACACAGCAAGCTATGCACAGCAGTGCCATTTTGAAGAAAATGCAAGCTCTTGAATACAAGGCAAAACTTTCAGACCATTCTGTGATGGCGATGGCAGACATGTCCTAGATCTCGCTAAGGTTGATCCAGAAGAATAGCAGAATATTTCTACTCTATGGTTTCATTGCATTTTTCATCCTTCAGACAGTGACATCACTTTGGCTGCAGGAAAGGTTGGATTGATACCACTGTGCTTTTGTTCCTGAGGCAGGACTAACCTACCTTCTAGCAAGCCATACTCTAGTCTTAATGAAATGGAAGTTTTGCTGTGTATGTTAAGCTGAATGATCCTTAGCGTTTTGAACTTGATCAGAGCTAGCTAATCCTCTGAAGAGGGTGCAGCTCTGCATGCAGCAGTTGCCTATTGGCCTCCACAATTTTACTTCTCTGCTGCTTCTAGCATATTTCCTACTGAGGTCTACCTTTTCCCTGGGTTTCGATCATGCACAAGCTGCTGGTTCAGGAATAGAAAGAGCTCTGCTTAATATTTTTTTCTCTTTGTAGGTCCTAACAGCAGAAGAGCTGAAGGCTGCCCAGACATCTGTAGCTTTTGGCTGCATTAAATATGCTGATCTCTCCCACAACAGGATGAATGATTACATCTTCTCCTTTGATAAAATGTTGGATGACAGAGGCAATACAGCTGCTTACTTACTCTACGCCTTCACTCGAATCAGGTAGCTCAGGTGTATTTTGATCAGCGTATGACCTAGCTTGCAATAAATTACTGAAGGTTCTGCTGAAGCTCTATTAGATAAAATACTAACTCCTGAGAGAGGCTCAGCTCCACCTTTGGAGTCTGCGTTTGATCTATGCCACTTTGTTTCATGAGTTCTCTGCTTGCTGAAAGGACAGCACTGATTAGAGTGAAGTCTGCATATTGTTCCTGACTTCTATACTGGGCTGATGCTTTATCTGGCTTGCTAAGAAAGTCTGTTAAGTGGCACATACTGAGTGCATCTACATGAGGTGTTTGCTGTGGAGTTGCCTAATTAGCTCTGCAATAAAGTCTCAATGTCTACACGTGCCACCCAGTTAGGCCGCAGGAATCAATTAACTCCACCGTGGGTTAGTATTTGTAAATACAAGTACTATCCGATGGCAGTGTTCATTAGTGTGCAGCAACACACATGTACATTCGGTGTACATTCTGACGGGGCTGGCTATGGCATGAGGATGCTTCAGCACAAGAGCTGCTTGCTGGCTGGTCCTGCACTGGAGAACCCCTCTGCCCCAGCCAGGCTCTCCGCAGCATGTTGAGTTGGATCAGCGCAGTTCCAAGCTGGCAGGCTGACCCCGAGGGCCCCCTCCCCTCCCTGTTTATTGCTCCATGCTAATTGCATGTGTAGATGCACCCACTGGGCATCTCTTCATTGATAATATGGTGCTGTGAACTGTTGTGTGGTTGCATGGCCCATGACTGCATGAGCACAGCCAGTCACTCTGCTCTGTCCTCCCAGCTTGTGGAGACAGAGTACCTACCACCTCCTGAATGTATAATTTGCTACTTAGACTTGCTACTTCTGCAGACTCCAGGACAGGCATAAGGCATTAAATTCCCCTGTGTTTTTCTAGCAGGCTACAACTGAGTGGTTTTCCTCTGCACTTTAGGCTGCTGCCTAACAGCCAGGTCATTAACTAACTTCCCTCTCCATTGTTACACAGTCTAGGCCTGAGCACTTTTCTCAGAATAAGCTGCAGTTCAGGCAAGATTATTCCTATCCGTATATGTATGGTAGAAATTGGGGTTGGGGGACTTAGCAGCAGAACCTTTGGTATTCTGGTTCCCTCAGACTATTGACTATATTGGGCAAATCTGACCAGTGCTGGATTTGTTGCAGGGCTATAGCACGTCTGGCCAATATTGATGAAGAGATGTTACAGAAGGCAGCTAGAGAAGCAGAGCTAATACTGGACCATGAAAAGGAGTGGAAGCTAGGCAAGTGCATTCTGAGGTTCCCTGAGATTCTGCAGAAGATCTTGGATGACCTCTTATTACACACGCTCTGTGACTACCTCTACGAGCTGGCCACTACCTTCACAGAGTTCTACGATAATTGTTACTGTGTGGAAAAAGACAGGCAGACTGGTAAGTGCCTGCTCGCAGAAGCTTGGGATATTGCTTGGGGGCAGGGGAGAGGAGGGTCAAGTTCAAAGGTGTCAAAACAGCATTTTACTTTTCTCTGGGTAAAGGTCCTCTGAGCCCCATAGGTGTCTTCATAATGAGGCTGGAGCTGGGTTTGAGCTCATGCAGCTCTGCCACCCTTTGTCCTGTGGCCTGTTTCAAAAAACAGAACTATTGTCTGCTCAGGATAGCTGCTGGTGCAAACATTTCCCTTTTTTCTCTACTTTTAGAAAAAGCAACCCCCTGGAGTAGGAGGGAATTTGGCAATCCCCCACTGGCTAGAATACCCTCCCCCTAAGCTGGGAGGGCATCTCCCTTCAGATCCTTCCTCTGCCTCAGCTGAAGCAGGGATCTGAACTGAGCTTTCCCACATACCACAGAAGTGTCTTCACCACCAGGCTACAAGGCCAGTCTCTCTGTGGCTCAATGGAATCACTTAGCAAGAGGTTAGGGCATGTACCGAGCTGCAGCAAATTGTGAGGACTAGCTCTATGATGCATTTGTGCCCGTGTGCATGCATAAATACAGATGTCTTCAAGGGAAGCCAGCAGGGATTTTGACTGAGTTTTCTAGCATAACAAATTACTTCAGGTAGAGCAATACAGTGTGAAAGACCAACCTGAATGGGTTATTTTCCCCTTCCTTTTTCAGGTAAGATAGTAAAGGTGAACATGTGGAGAATGTTACTCTGTGAAGCCACTGCTGCAGTCATGGCAAAAGGGTTTGACATCCTTGGAATCAAACCTGTTCAGAAGATGTAAGTTTCAGCACTTGAACCTCTCTCTTTTTTACATGGCTACAGAAAAACTCTTGTGGCGGTTCTATTCAACCTCAATCTGAAAATAAAACAAGATTGCTAAGGTTGTGTGGCCTCGTGTGTATGTTATAGTATAGTCCCCTTTCCAGTGCGGCATGTCTTGTGAAGACCCCTGTCTTGTACTGTTTGTAGAGGCATTGTAAATAAATATTCAAGGTAAAGCTTGTCATCCCCCCCACCAGCAGATAAAAATATAAAAACAGTGGAATCTGTTTTCATGCTGCACTTTTATTGGCGGTGCTTTGTCTGAGCTATTAGAGTCTTAACATTCCAGCCAAAAGCATTCACAGGAGAGATACAAGACTTGTTTGTAGATATAAATCTTTGCAAACTACTTAAACATTCAGTCTTGAGAAATGGAAATGAGTTAAGTTTACTACTTTGGAAAGGCACACCAACAGGAAGACTGCCCAGGTTGGACTTGCTACAACACTAAGCTTTGTAAGTTAAGGTCAGTCCATGGGCATGAAACAAGGAAGTTGCATTCAGCAGATGTGATCAGTTTAATTGTGGCTCAGTTACTTACCATCCTACTAAAAAACAGCTCTGTGTCACCAATTAGATCCAGTTTCCTTTTTTTTTAATGCCCTCTTATTAAAGGCCCTGGGATGAAGGCTGTAGAAACCAGCACTGCTTCTCTTGCTTTCAGACAGACAGCCCATGAACCCGGCAGGCCTTAAAACATTTATTTTTGAGACACTTGTTTGCACCAGTGCTGTATAAACAGCTTTACCACATGACAGCTTAGTTATTCAAGCTTTTATATACAGGTATTAGAGAGTATGCACACAGGTAAGTTACCACGTGTGTTTTATATCACTTCTGTTTGCTCTTGTGTCTCACTAGTTGACAAAATGGGGTGTAGCAAACTTGTGTTACTTGCAAGGCAGTATGCAAACAACAAAACAAGTCCTAGTACTCCTAAAACTGGGAATATTTGGAACAGAATGCAGTTTAGTAGGGGGTGATTTTCAAACTACTGAATTGTAGAAAATTAGACCCAGTATGTGATAAACAAATTTGCTCCAATGGGAAGACTTGTCAAGCGTAACTAGCATTTGTAATTTTACCAGTAGCTTTCTCTACTTTTATAACCATCTCATGAAAGCAGGTGTACCCTAGGGCTTCAGTTAATGTTTTCCAACTAGCCAAACTTAAAAGATAAAACTAGACTTCTGTGGGTGCTGATAACTCCAACATAGTAAATTTTGGAGTAAAACAGTAAATTTTACCTCAACTTAATACATCTCGGCCTATTCATATGATCCAGCCACTGCATCACTTTCCCACTTAGAATTAAAGAGGCTTGGATTCTAACACATCTTCCATAAAGTACTATTTTGACCAAACAAAGCTCTGCAGTTATAGTCCAGTAGAATTTGGAACCACCTGCATAGAATGACCTCTCAGGATACTGCAAGACAGCATTAAAGGGATAATTGGTTTATTTTTCTAAAGTACAGAAAGGTGACCATTCATTCCTGACATTTAAACACAGGAGCAGCATACTTTATTACAAAGACCAAAAGTTCTGGATAATCATGAAAATCAATGATCCTGTCTAGTTTAGCAGCACATTAAGTATTTTTAATAAAAGATGGGTATTTATTTATGTCCTTAAGAGAGCAAACTGAGAATTTGGCCCAGGCCACATACATAGTCACTGCTCAGTTTGCATTGAGACTTGTCCATTCATGCAAGTTCATTTTATGAAGTTAGCTTGGGTTATGCTCTTTATTTAACGACTCAAACACATTCCTTCACATAGAATGAGGAAAGTAGAAAATGCTCCTAAGTGAAAATTGGTGGCTTCTCTCATGTGCAGGAATGTCAGTCACAAATGTTCAAAAACTATTCTGGCAAGAGTTATACAAAAAGGCAGTATCACAGGAGTATCAACAGCTCAGACTAAAATGTTTATCTACCATAAAACAGAGCAAATATAACATTAATATTAAAAACACACAATTCTGTTGCTTATGTTCAGCTTGTTACCATGTTGCTGAAATTATTTTCAAAGTTTTTGATTGAATAGGGTAGCTGATATATGAAAAGAACCAACACTCCAGAATGCTAGAGCACTCTCTTAATGCATAGATGGAAAAAATATAATGTTCTCAGTTTAATAACTTAATAACTATAATTCTAATTAGCATATTTTGTCTCTTTCCTGGAGGTAAAAATTGAATTTAACCTTTTATATACATACATGTATACACAGTGACGTTTTCCTAATCTTTGTGCAAGCAGTTCAAGAAAAACTTTGTTGAACAGCAAAAGCCCTATAATGTTACTATTGTACATTTCAGTTCTTCCATTAGCAATTACATCTTGATTTGAAAATGTGAAGAGGCTTGTTTACTTAAGCCAGTGATTCCCAACCAGGGTGCCAGGGCACCCACAGGAACCTTTGGAGGATATCTTGAAGAGCGAGGAGATAAGTAGATAAGCCAGAACAACCCCCCTTTCCACCAGCCCCTGTTAAGCACTGTAATATCTAACTAGTTTTTGAAATTGGATGCCACTCAATTCACAAAATCTATGGAGGGATGCCTCAAGTCCAGAGAAGTTGAGAACCACTGACTTTGGTTGAAGCTTTGAAAGTGGCAGCACAGAAGCAGTTCATGTCTCAGCACCTATTTAGAAAATCCAAGTGCTTCAGATTTTGGTTTCTTTTGTGTGGAGGTACTGGAAGGAATCCTTTATCCTTAGCAGTTCTGCAGCACATATATGGCCAAAAACCCTGTTGTACCATTCTGTTGTTCGTCCCCTGCAAATCAAATCCAGACATGAAATAAGTGATGATAGTCAAGGAGAAATAATCATTTCCTTTTCTTTGTGAATTTCATTACTTGACCCACTTCCTGACTTCCAGCTCATTTTTCAGTATTTGTATTGCAAAAGTACCTAGAGGCCTCTAATGCATATGCGCCAAGTCTGAGCATTGCTCTTTCACAAAGAGAACAAAACCAAAAATAAACGTTAATTATTAATTCTCTTGTCCTGTCTGGTATTTCTCTACTTTACCTGGAACCTCTGAGGATGATTGGAAAGGCAAAAGCACCAGGGTGTCTAAGCAATTTAGCCTACTCTAGGGTAGGTTTGGTTCATGCAGAAATTACAGCTTTTCCTTGCATATAGGCAGCAATACAGTTTTTGATTATTGTTGGACCCCTAATCAAACCCTGACAACTATTGCAAATTTCTTCTCCATGTGCATCTTTAGGTGTCAGGACTTTCAGAGGAAGAGCAGAAACAAGTTCTCATTTTTGAGGTTTGACTGAGGTTTCTGAAATGTTGATACATTAATTGCTTGTGTTGCTATGTTTGAATTCCTCCATAGGTCAGATGCCAGGGTCAGTGTGTGGCTTTGGAGGCTAATACAATACATGGAATGCGTTATTTTTGGGAAGAGGGCAGCCTCTCAGGATCAGGGCTCTTGTGAATGTCAAACACGGAGGAGAGCTGCAGATACAGGTTTCATCGATTTTTAGGGACCTCAGTAGGGATGGTGGATGGGTGCACAGAAGGGACCTCAGTAGATCATTGAGTCTGACCCCCTGCCCTAAGCAGGAAAGAGCGCTGGGGTCATATGACCCCAGCCAGGTGTTTTTCAAGTCTCCTCTTAAAGGCCTCCAAGGTAGGGGAGAGCACCACCTCCTTTTGAAGTCCATTCCAGATTCTGGTAACCTTTACTATAAAGAAGTTTTTCCTAACGTCTAATCTGAATCTGCTCTCTGTCCGTTGTTTCTAGTTACCCCAAGGGGTGCCTCGGTAAGCAGAGTATCTCCTATATGTTGCTGCCCCACCCCTGACAAATTTGTAGACAGCCACCAGATCCCCTCTCAGACTTCTCTTACAGAGGCTGAAGAGATTCAGGTCCCTCCATCTCTCCTCGCAGGACCTTTCCTGCAGGCCCCTAACCATAAGAGTGGCCCTCCGCTGGACCCTCTCAAGGTTATCTGCATCCCCCTTGAAGGGCCATGCCCAAAACTGGAAGCCATACTCCAGCTGCAGCCTTACCAGTGCCACAAAGGGGAAGTATCACCTCCCTGGACCTGTTCGTGATGCACCTGTTAATGCACGGTAGTGTGGTTAGCTCTGTTGATCACTTTGTCACGTTGTCGACTTATGTTCATCTTTGAGTCATCTATGACTCCGTCATCCCTTTCTGCTGCTGTGCTGCTTAAAAAGTCATCCCCCAATCTGTATGTGTGCTAGTGATTCCTTCTCCCTAGGTGCAGTACTCTACACTTATCCTTGTTAAACTGCATGCTATATTGTTCTTCCCACTTTTCCAGCTTGTCCAAAGCTGCCTGAATCTGCTCCCTGCCCTCCAGTGTATTTACTTTGCCCCATAATTTGGTGTCATCCATGAATTTGGACAGTGTGCTCACCACACCCTCATCAAATCACTGATGAAGATATTGAACAGCACTGGCCCAAGGACCAAGCCTTGGGGGAATCCACTGCCCACATAGTTCCAGGTCAATACCAACCCATCCACCACCATTCATATCATATACATGAGCCCCACAGACGCATTAAACTTCACAGCAGCAAACTACACGATTTGCAGTAGCTCTGGCATCAGGGACGTCTCCCTCAGAAACATACTGCTTGGCAAGTAGGTGTTGGCCATCACTTGGGACATCAAACTATTTAATACTATGCCAGTTCCTATAACAGGGAGGACTTGCAATTCCCACTGAAGTTACACTTCCAAAGGAAGTTGCAGGTATTCAGCAGCTCTCAGGATTTAGCTCACCAGTTCAGTCACATGCACTCCTTTGATCTGAAGTGTTGAGTAGCATGTACTGATTTATATGCTGTTGGCATTCACAGCCATGTACAACCTCCTGGACACAAGCCATTTATGAAAACAACTCCTGAAACCTTAAGGGAAAGGCATGAAGGTAATCTCTTCCACTCACCAGTTCCCACTGCTCATTACATTCAAGAAGCACCACTGGTCTCAATCTATAACCTAAACCACCCTCTTAACTGAATTTCTTATACAGTAATTTTTCAATTACTCAAACCAGGTTTATCCAAATGGCTATGGTGTTCCTGATAAGGCAGGTTATTATGGAATAATTAGATGTTTACACAGTGAATGTAGCTAGTGCCCCAGACTCCTGCTTGGTTTTCCTAGTCAGCTAATGTTCTTTCAATTATCCCAAGTGCATCAAGCTGTGAAAGAATCCAGCAATTAATGATTCCAGTCCAGTTGGAATTCCAATGCATATTTTCAAAGCTGGCTCAAAAGAAGGAGGATGGCACATGCACAGAAGCACCAGGCAGGCCATCAATCGTAGTATCAAAATTGACACCCAAAGGTAAAATACTTCCCTACTGGAAGCCCATACTATGCATAATACATAACAACTTAATAGGCATTTAACATCTATAGATCTCCATGTTTGTATGTACATGGGTAGGTGGAATTATCCTTATTTTTCAACGCTGAGAAATTACTTCTACAGAGGAGGGAAGATTAAGAGATTTGTCCCAACGTCATGGCGAGGACTCAAATCCAAGGACCCAGCCTTGTGCTCTATGATTGGAGCATACCATGCTCATTTTTTCCTAACTGATATGTGACTGGCAACATATTGGTGATTCAGGAGATGTGGTCAGGGGCCAGCAGTACCAAGGAGCTAGTAAAGAAGCATAAACTAAAATGATACCTTGTGTCTCTTCGACAGACGTGAGTTACTTTGGATTTCTGAGACCCAACTGCTTCTATGAGATACTGGCACAGCAGGACCTGCGCTAAAATCCCATGCAGAGTAGCTCCTTCACTGTTGACTGAGGTAGCTGCCAAAATGCAGGTGCCACTTTGGGGATCAGTCCTCCAGGTCCTAGAACCAGGTGGGAATTTTTAGGATGTTTCATGCAAAGACATTTCTTATATAAAACCAGTCGTTTGACATGCTTGCTGTGAAGTCAGACAACAGTCCTCAGATAGCTTATAGTCTCTTCCACACATAATAGAGAAGGCTGGTAAATCCTACCACACATTAGTACTTTTAGTTCAGTAGCCCAGAGGATCCCAGGGTGCTAGACAGACTAACCAGCATGCAGTAAGCTTCGTCCTTGCCCAAAGCGGTCGCAATCCAAATACAAGAGACAACAGACTAATATGGAAAAAAGTCCCAGGGGGAAGGGGAGGAGGGTAACAGGTTCCTCTTACTGTCTTAAGATTTTGCACCATTGCATGGCCCTACTGCAACTGGGGGACAGAGCTCCACTCAAATGGAATCACTGTGTAAATAGTAGGTCTCGTCTCAGGTAAGCAGACGGGCAGAAAAACAGCAACAACATCAAATGCTGCTGAACAAGCTATCAGAAGACCGAACAAAATGTAGAGATTCTTTTTGTTTTGTTTTTTTCTAGAGACTAGGCTAGACTGCAAATTATTGTTCCCCAGGACCTCTACCTCAGGGGAGTATGTAGCTTTGACAAGAATTATTTGGAATTGTGGGGTTTTTTTTAAAGAAAATAGACTTGGTTATGGCAGGACAACATGTTCTGTATCAGTCTGAGCCATATCCCTCACCTTTAAGCTCTTCAGGGGAGGACTTGTGCGCTATAAAAGAGCTGAAGTGACTGTCGCTACAATTCACGTTATTGTTAACTGCTACAAACAGAATCCACTGACTAGAGATTTATACAGGGCTTATCTTCCTGTAAGAGAGACCCAAACCCTCATTTTATCTATAGTCATTGGAAGGACTATTACCACATGATGCAACATGCACTACCGTTGCACAAGATATTGTGTTTAAGGAACAAAGGAGAAAAGTCTATCAGATCCTTACCTCAAAACAATGTAGTCCCGTGCTGGAAGGGGAGACATGCTTTCTGTTGTATAGTGATAAATATCTGTTTCGTCATCCAAGGTCTCTAGGATTTTAGCTTGCTGCAGGCTTGGGTCCCACTGATGCTGTTCCGTCAAGATGCGCTGGAGGATTAGTTTAGGAGCAGCGTCTATTTCAGTGGATGCCTTCCATAGCCGGACATGGTAATTATCATCCACCTTACAAAATAGTTAACCAACACTGGTCAGCTACTAAGAAATGATTTAATGCTCTGTTCCCTCTTCCAGCACTTAAAATCCACAGGCATCCCATCACTGACCTCAGAAGTACTGTATTTTCTCATATCTAGTACACAGCTTTTCCTCCAAATCTCCCCCCCACCCAAAATTGGTGTGTATGAATTAAGCAGGGAAGCTGATTTTCTGGCTGAGATAGAAGCACCCTCATTTCTACAGTGCAGCAGCTGTTGCGTTTGCATTACTACTCAGGCAACGAAGAGAGTCAATCAGCTTACTATTTTTCATTCCAGATGTGTTAATGATTCTCTCTCTCTCTGTTTTTTAACGTTGATGTCCCACCAATCAAGCTAACCTTCCTCAGGGCAACTTCTGTTCTCAGTGGTGGCAGATGACAGAACAAGGAGCAATGGGCACAAGTTACAGCAAAGGAAGTTTAGGATATTAGAAAAAAACTAGGAGGGTGGTGAAGCACTGAAGCAGTGGAACGGATTACCTAGAGAGGTGGTGGAGTCTCCATCCTTGGAGATTCTAAAGGCCTGGCTCAACAAAGCCTGACTGGAATGATCTAGCTGGGGATGGTCCTGCTTTAAGCAGGGGATTAGACTAGATGACCGCCTGAGGTCCCTTCCAACTCTAATTTTCCCAGTATCTCTCTCCTCCTATTTCACAGCCTTGGAGAGACTTTAGCTTTTTTTTAAATCATAGATCCACCCATGGAGATCAGTCTTTGACAGCAACTAGGGGTTCAGCTACGGTTAAGTAGGAAAAGGAGGTTGCGTCAACCAAATGTTAGATCTTATGCAGCCGTAACTCTGGAAAAATATATTTTTCTTCATTCTGCCTTTCAAAAACAAGGTATGTATTATATTCCAGGATATGTTACATATAAGAAAATATGGTAAACATTTACAAGCTTACTTGAATGCTAAATTGCAGAACAAGGACTCATTTCTAAACTAAACTGGACTGCATTAACCTGTGTCTCAACAGAGACTATGGGTCCATTTCCCATTACTTGGACTAGTTGTTTACTCTGGTGTTCCTCTGGGTATTAACTGTCACATTTATCTTAACCGATTTAATCAAAAACCCTCTCCTATCTTAGCATCCACCTCTATCCTCATACTTTTGTCTTCCCTCTATAAAAAGTCTTTCTGCCAGGCCATTCCAACATCTGATAAGGTAGGTTACTGCCTATGAAAGTTCATGCATCTCTGAACCAGTTAGTGTCCAAGGGGCCTCCCTGCCCTGCCCTGCCTTTTGCCTCATTCAAACTAACAACCTCTGTACTCTTCCAACCTCCAGTAAGCTCCACCACAAAAGAATGGAGCTAAGAGCAAAGCGTATTAAACGGATCTTTTTAACACCAATGGAATTCCCAATCAGCCTAGCTCAGGAGTCATGTTTCCGGTACATAAAAGTCATCCTTGGACCTTTTCCAATGCAATGGACATCTTTCTTATACAATTAAAGGTACGCTTTTAATGAAGTTCATGCAAATAGCAAATTAAGGCTTAATTATTATTAGACATTACAGACTAGTTAAAAATGTACCAGCAGTTGTTGCCAACTCACAGACACCTGAACTGATGTTTAACAAAAACTCAGCTGTTTCAGCATACTCCCATCCTTTGAGAGGTGGGTAATTAATTTTTAAGGTCTTCGGCCACTTGTGTGTTAATGCCCTAATGTCAAATTTACCTTTTTATGTGCTAATTCCACACGCTCCACGTTTGAGCAAGCAACCCAGCTCTTGAATTTTTCCTTGGCATCCCGAAGCAGGTCCTGCATAGAATTCTCAAGGGAAATCAACATAGTGGAGTGCTTGATCGGGGTGGTCTGGTTTGAGGCCCCTTCACTCAGGACTTTCTGGTCATGCAAGTCATCACCACACGGCTCAAGACAGTAGTCAGGCATCTGCACAGGGAGAGGAAATGGCATATCCTAATCACAATCCCCCTTACATTCGTTTCAGATTGGACAAAAGAATAATGAACCTCAGGTGTAGGTAAACCCACTAGCAGAAGCACTTAGTGATAATATTAACATTACAAACCCCAAAATAAATGCTAACAAGCCTTCTAAACCATTATGTGTAAGTGCGGACTCAGTACAGTGGCATCAGTGCAACAAAACAGGGAATGGTGAGAATTCAGGAGCAACCCAACACATGCAAGTTCCTTCAGGTGCAGACACAAACTACTGCTGAAGGATGAGCCAGGAATGACTCCATCCCCCACAGTGAAGGAAATGCTGACTGCTCTGTGAATCTGAACTCCTCACATTATATTCCTACTTCTACTCCTCAACTTTAGTCACTTCGCTTCAAGTCTTGCACTTTAGCAGAGGTTCAGAGGGAAGGGGTATGACTTGTTTCTCCTCCCATTATGACAGATGTCAATTTTACCTTACTGAATGAAAGCCACAGCCTGAGATTTTTGACATCATAAGCCCTGAGCAAAACAAGCAGTGGTGAAATTAGGTACAGGCTGGACAATCCATTTCCCAGCAGCAGTTATTGGCTTGCTGACAAAAAATGTAGAGCTGACTGATTGCAGACAAAGGCACCATCTCCTTTGTACGTATAATACTTTCATGACTAATGCAATGGTGCTCAACTTATCTGGCCCTATGGGCTAGATAAAGAGTGTTGGGTTGGTCCGTATGCTGTATCCCATCAGACCTGATCCAGTGTGTAAGTGTGGTCGAGAGTAAAGGGTGTCTAACTATGGGTGCAGTCTAGCCACAGAGCAACCCCACTTGCTGGCCTGACCCTGTGCACTGGATCTGGCCACATAGCGACCCCACAAACAGCAGCTCCAGAAGACACAGCAATTAACACTTCCATAGCTTCCCTGCCACCAAATTTCCAGGCCCAGGAGGAGCCCTCCTGGTCCAGATGACATGGTTCTATGGGTCAGAGCTGGCCATAGGTTGAGTGCCACTGCTGTAGTTGAGCACCACTACCATAGTTCCTGTGCGGTGACTGAGCGCCATTTTTACATTGCATCCACGTAAACTGGGGAGCCAGACCAATAAAGAAAACAATTATTTTGCAGGCTACATTCCCCTCCATAGCAAAGAAAGGCCTGCCTAGCAGGAGTACTGCAAATAGGGAACACGACAAGCTTCATCTCTCTGGAACATGTAGCCAGTTGCTTCACCATAAGACACACTGAAAAGGCCTGTAAGTACCTCTCCAGTAATGAAGCCTCCCCGTCTCAATGAGGGAGGCTTGCTAGGTCTGGGAGAAGATGCATTAATACATGTTTAACAGAAGGCAAATCATACGCTCAGATGACATGCGGATGAAATCACTGCAAACAGATACCTGCTTTGGTGTTAAAATGACAACAAGAAAGCTTAGAAAGCAAGAGCTGAGTGAGGGTGGTCTCCAATCCAGAAGAAATAAGCACTATGAATCATCAGCCCCACTAGCCGAGCATCCCCAAGCTGCTTTAGATGTGCTGAGTTTGCCTCCAGGCTTTACAGGGTTTTCAAAACTCAGTTAAGTCTGAGACCTGCCTGGTCCCTCAAGTCAACAGCAGACCCTTGGCCTTTAGCCCATTTTCAGCACCACAAGAGCAGGAGAAGAGGAAATGGCTTCCTCCTTCACCCTGCCTTTGCCTTCTCTATTTTTCCTTCTCCTTCCTCTTGCCTAGCACATGTATGCTGCAGCTTTCCTTTTAAGCTGCAGGCCTAGCAGAGCATGGCAAGGCAAAGCCAAGGGACAACTAACACTCTTCTCTTAACATGTGTGAGTATTTAGGGGTAAAGTTCCTCCTTCCTTCCCAGCTTTTCCTAAGAGCTATTTCAAGCACCATGGTGGAAGAGACAGCCTAGCCCCATGTGATACACATGTGAATGCTGCTGATAGGCCTGCTGGGCAGACCTCTATGCCACTGATTTCTTGGTCCTTATCCAGCTCTTGCCTCACCTGTGTCACTGCAGACCCCCATGGGCAGCGCACCTAATTGCTGTGGGAAGTGCAGCCAGCAACAACAAATCTATTGTGCAGCACAGACAGCAGCCTTAATGACAAGTGGAAAAAATGTGCGAGAGGAGGATACAAGTAACCAGTTTCCTCAGAGCAGAAAGTGAGAGGGAAAAAATACTTCTCCCCTCGCTAAGGATGTTTTCAGGCCCTCTGGGGAGCGGTGTTCCTTTGTTACATACTTATCACTGGAGTCCTGCATCAAGGCTCCCTCTAAGCTGCGCCTGTGCATGGCCACGCACAATTAAAAATCTTGCCACGTGCTGACTTATTAATGCCACGCGCCTGCCAGGAGAGGAGCTGGGCTGTGGCTTCCCAGAGAGGAGCTGGGCGCGGAGTGCGGCGGAGGCACTGGGACTGGCGTGGGACACTTACTGAAGGCAAGCTCCTCACTCCTCATGCAGGGCAGGCAGCAGCTCTTCCCTGTGGTGAGGTGAGGGCAGAGACAGGGCCTGGGGGCTGGCACGGGCTCCGCTGACTCCAGGGAGCTGCTCCGCACCCCTGCATCGCCTCAGGGAGTGAGGAGGCACATGGCGTCAGGGCTGGGGAGTGGAGCAGCTCGCCAGAGCTGGTAGAGCCCGCACCAGCCCCAACCCCCATCCCTGCCTTGCCTCACCTTGGGGAGGAGCTGCTGCCTGCCCTGCATGGGGAGTGAAGAGCTTACCTTAGGTAAGTGTCCCACGTCCCACGCTGACCCCGGTGCCTCCCTTTCAGTTCTATCAATTGACTGTGTCCGGCCCATGGCTGCCCCACAGCACTCCAGTACGCTGCTCTGGGCCGCAGTTAGCATGGAGAAGGATGGTAGCTGAACCCTGCCTGTTCCCACCTGGACACTTACTGTGGGACACTTACCAGCGGACCACACCTAAAGGGGGAGACGGGACTGAAGCGGCACGCTCACAGACCAAAGCAGCGCACTCATGGACCACTACTCCTGGGATGCAGGACAATGTTCCCTCTAAGGCGGCAATGGGACATTTAGGGGTTGAGGTGCCCAGCAGGGTCAGGATTTGTCATCAGATGAGATGACAGCAAGTGCTGGCTCTGGCATGTTCCTTCAAGCGTAACTAAAGCAGCTGTTTCCATCTCAGTCAGATCATGCATTTAGATGGTGTCTATGGCAGGCAGGCCAGAAATGATTTAAAAAAGGCATTTTTATATATAAAATGTATTAGAGTGCACACGCCCCACAGCTTAGAGGGAACGCTGATCCTGAGTAGCGTGTAGCAGATGCAGCCATCTCTGCAACAGAATTCCCCATGTTCCCTAGTGACGTTCATCCATACAACATCAAGGAATGCATTACAAGGGAAAAAGTTATTGAGACTAGCGTGAATCATGATTTGGCCCAGAGCATGTATTACCCTCAACAAAAACAAACCTTGGGGCTCAAAGCCGATTCAAGCTGATTTTTTTTCCTCCCTTTTTGCATTCAAAGACCAACAGAAGAACATGAGCACTTGCCAAACAGTTCTGTTTGATACACATGGCAAAGACCTCACAACCGCATCCAGCTTCAGTACCAGAGCATCCTACTGGCACACACCCAAGTCACTAAGCAGCATGATGGATGTTGTCTAAAACAGTAAAGTGGAGCTTTGTTATAAACCACGACATACCTGGAAGAGTCTGTTGCACTCTATTATCATGTGGGCCAAGCCTTGTGTTGCTGCCAGGTTCTCACTCAAGTCTCTCTGGTCTGGCTTTCCCAGGCTGTATTTCCTCTGGCTGGACCTGGTGGGGAGAGCAGGGTGAATTAATAAGGGTTCTCGTAAAGAGAAAAGAATAGAGGTGCCCAGTCATACACCACTAGGAGCTGCAGCCTGAATGCCTTGATGCATTTGGAATTGCTTCTTACTCTCCCATCTGAATGTGTGCATCACAATGAGATCAGTCCCACTGTACAAATTATGCTCTAACTACATTCACACAAACAGCAGTATCAAGGCTTGAACAACAATTACATAGAAGCAAGACCCCCGACTCAGGGCATGGATTCTAGAAACACTGGACGTATTAATACCTACCAAATATTAAAAGCCAGTATTTGTTACTGAAGTATCTACACAGGATTAGAAAAATCTGAGTAGCTCAGCCTGATTTAATTTACCGTGATCTGTGTTTTCTTATACCAAAATCCTTCACAAAAATTGCCTAATTGACATATAAAATGATTATGATACACAAAATAGCTGCTTCCTTTCCATGTTTTTTGTTAACTTCTTTTTTTTAGCATTTTGGCTCTTTTCAGACATAATAATCATTATATGATATCATTAGCACTCACTTCTAACAGCTTTATCATGGCACATTCCTGTTAACTAGCTTTGAAAAGAAGAAACAGATAAGGCCTCTTGACTTTATTCCTCAAAGCCAAGACTTCTAGATTATATCCCTTTGAAGCTTGAAACATATGGTAAAATATTAACAAGTGTTTATCAGAACCTATGGTTCAAAGCAACCCTATTTCTAAGATGATCAAGAGAAAAGCCCTTCTATTTTAGGCTCCTTGCTGTGCCACTGTAGAATTAAAGTAAATCAAGAAGATACAGAGCCCTGGACTACAACTCTCAAGTTCCCAACCATTACAGATTGCTTAACTCTGGTTTAGACCCTGCGATCAAAAAGCTATCAATTCCACTGCCACATTCTTAACTCTGCTCACACCTTCCTTCGCTGTGACTGGCAGTGTGTCAGCATTAGGGTCAGCTCATCCCAGCAAGAGCCAAGCATCCATTGCAGGGCTGTTTTATAGGCAGACATGCATCTCATGATGGTTTGTGCTTCGTAAAAGCACATTCTTAACATTTTTCACCTCTATTTACTTTTCTCAGAATCTGTTTCTTTAAACCTGAAATGCACGTAACTACCTGACTGGAACTTGCACCCTTATCTCCAGCACATCGCTGCAAGGAAATGGAGGATCTACTTTGATGAAGATGTGACATTTGTCTGAAGCGAAGCAGTTCTTCCAGCCTCAAGACAAGTTTATGCATAAGCACAATTATATTGTATAATGAAGAAACAAGGCATCGTATGTAAATACTGGGTCTGAAATTAATATTCCGGGAAGTTATGAGATTGCCCTGATTTGAGAATTCCTTCAGAATTGGATGGATTACTGGCAGGTGTTACACATGTGAGATATTTTTGGCTATTAACATTTAATCACACAATCCCTGTGGCTCAGTTTGGCATGTACTGTAAAGCTGAACCATCAGGTTATCACCAAACAATTAATTCCTAGGTTAACTGCAAGCCAGAAGCTAGCTGCAAGAGCTTAAAATGCACCTGGACTGTTATATATATGACACTAATAACCATTTGAAATCTTCTTATGTAAAGGTTCTCTAGCTCCATTTCTTCTACCACACCTATGACAGCTGCCTTACTCGAGTGTAACTAGAATTCTACATAAAACTAATTTTATCAGGAAGACTATTTTCATAGGTCTCCACATGTGGATTTTTAAAGAGTGTTTTTTTTTTAAACATAGTTCATTCTAACAAAGAGTCAAGAGGATACAAACTATAGGATTTTAACAGGTATTGTTGTCCAAGTATTATGACAATGATACCTAGATGATGATGATGAACTCTCCCGTCTTAGGGTACTGAGGTGAAACAGAGATGGTGCAAGACAGACTGCAATGTTGGTTGGAGTCATCTGGTTTTCCTCAACAAAAGCTACCACATCATGGAGAAAGGAGAGAAGGATTTTCAAAGCCTCACGATTTTCATCTGGGAGGAGAAGAATGGCAGCCTGGACAGCATGAAATTGTTGATCCTTTGGCAAGTCTGGAAGTAAAAGAATTAGGAAAATCATGTGAGAACATAAGGGGATAAAAACAATACATGAAATGAATGTTAGCCCTTAAATAATGCAATACCTGTGTAACTACTTTGACTCTTCTCTAACTTTAGATGGTTGTGCAAGAGCTCACCAAAGGTAAAATAACATTATGGTCTCACTGGGAGTGTCTACATGTCACCATATGGTGACAGTGCTGCGCGTGGAAGAAGTACTAAAACACAGCGCAGTACTGCAGTGTACGGACAGCGCACAGTTAGATGCACTGGCTACGTCACCATAGCGGCATGCTATAGCTGGGCAATGCACCACTACAGCAACGTAGCCAGTGATCATGTGAATCATGATCATGGAGATCATATGTAGCCACACGATTGCTATGTTGCCGTAGTGTGCTATACGGGAACATAGCACATTGCTATGTCACTGTAGAGCAATGTGTAGATATGCCCACTGTATGGAAAGGCCCCAGAAGACTGCTAACATACAAATTTACACTGATTTAAACTGGTGCAAACCTCATGTGAGAACTTTTATTTGCAACTAAAAGTGGCTTATTTTAGCTTAGTTTAAACCCGTTTGTAACAGACTAATATGGAAACATGACTTGTTCAAACCCAAGTAAGGGCTTGCCTTCTGATTACCTCCATGTATGGAGTGTGCTCCTGTTAGCTGAAGCCAGAATAGCAGGTCCTGAATAGCTCCATGTGTTTAGAGCTCTAACACAGCATCCACACAACGTTCTGCATAAAGTATAACTAAATAGATTTAAAATTCATAACTTTAATTATTTCAGCATAATTTAGCATGCAGACAGCCTGTAGCAGAGACTGGGCATGGGTCCAACTTGCCACATTACTTGAAGTAGCACTTTTTGGACCTATAAGCAAGAAGCATTTATCTTTAGTCTGCTTAATTTAAAAAGGACAGAACACAAAATTACATTCTTCTTGGAAGCTCCTATCTTTAAAAAAAAAAACCAACACACTGTGATTCTAGGTGAAATTATTCCCTTACCTTTCACTTAATATTTTTAATCAAAAGAACCTAAAAACAAACAGACTTCCTTTTGATAGCTCCACAATTTAATTTTAAAAAACAACTGTTTTAGAAAAAAAATTAAAACAAAATCAAAATAAATCTACTCCAAAATTGTACAATATTATGCCCTGCAAAGAAAATAAAAAGTAACTAGAGTTTCTGCGCTAGGTTTTGACTCAATGCAGCGAGACATACATTCATGTAAAGACAAGTCATGTAATACAACTCAAAATTTAATGTTTTTTAGAAATCCTGTCCTTATTCAAATTTTAAGTGTCTTTTCCATATTACAGAAAAAAGAGTTTGTAGTTATGGAGGTACCATCCTCACATCATTCCTGTATTTTAAAAATACATTTTGTTAGGACAAACAATTGGCAATAGAATCAATTCAAAGCAATTTTAAAGGCTAGCGTTGGCCTTCTAACTTATTTCTCTTTCACACAGAACCGTGAGCTTACGCTGACAGAGCAAGTAGCAAACAGTTGGCATTTCCAGTGAAAACACCACTCCCCTCCAAGTTGATTGTCAGATTTCAGCCCCAGGAGCACACCAGAGTCTCCAGCTGGCTCCAATACAGTCCTGGGGCTGGGATCCCTAATCACCCAATTGTCGGTTCTAGCCCCAGTTCAGTTCACCAGGCATTTGGCTTTCAACTTGCTAGTTCAGGAGAAGCCCAGAATCATGATTCTGGGTTCAACCTGCAGCGGCAAGTAGTAGTGGCACAATTGGAGTTTGATCCCCAATCCCAAAATTGTGCATCCTGCCATGCATGTGTAGGAACAGATCCCATCGCACCGTTAAACAAATACATGCCAGGGGCCTTAATAAAATCAATCAGACTACTATTGAAGCAAGGCAGTCCTTAGAGTAAGGGGATCAGATTTCACCCTCAATTTGTGTCCTGAATTAACTATTTAAAAATAAAGTTAGATGATAAACCAAGGTTAAAGGCTGTTAAACGGTATCTATCCGTAAGTGCCCTGGCTCCCCTCCACCCTTCAGAAAAAAAGCATTGTATATATATTCCAAAAACACAAATAATTCCAAAAGCAGCCGCTGATTGTAGGAGTCAAGCACATTTCAGACACAGAAATGCCAAGTACTAGTTTATAGCTGCTTGCAAGTTTGGGCAGCAGGGGAGAGGGATATGGAAAGTAGGTTCCAGCAGTTTAAGTTTCAACACTCAAAATAAAAACAAAACAACAACAAAACAACGACCTATATGTGCAAGAAACTCAGGCAACTAAAAAGGTACATACATTGGTAGATGTGGAGGAAGGATTCACAGAGCTTGCTAGTGAATATAGGTTCAGGAAGATCACGAAAATACTGCTTTACCATATCTGCCACATCGAATGCTGACTGGCCTTCGTAACATACATTGCTTGGGTCATTTTCATTCATCTCCCTTAAAGAAAGGATCCTAGATTTAACACCTGATTTCCTGAACAGACCAACCTATTTAACAAAGAAAGAATGAAAGAAAGAAAGAAAGGATAGACAGATGTGAGAACTTAATGAATAATAATCAAGCCTTCTCCTTCCCTTTGGGTGCAAGTCAAAAGCCAATATATTTACCTTTAAATGTCCACCTCGACTTGTATACTGTCCCCTGCGAGCAGAGCTGCCTGGACCTGCACCGCTGGGGGGGGCAGGCTCTACTGAATGCAGGATTGGGCTCCTCACCACTTCTATCTTTAGCAGACTCCTGTGGCTGGCAGGATGCCTGGAGCCACCTGGAAGGGGCTTGCTTGCTCCATAGACAGCACGGGGTGTTGGACTTAGGTGGGAGTGGGGGTTGAGGTGTTGGGCAGGGCCGGCCTTCCCCCCAACCCCTCCCAGGCACCCTGTGTTGCCCATGGGGTGAGGCAGCCCCTTCTCAGGCAGTGCCAGGCATTCTGCCGGCCTCAGGAGCCTGCTGAAGGCAGAAGCAGTGAGGGGCCTGATCCTGCTTTTGGCGGAGCCTGCCTGCCCCCAACCCTGCAGCTGGGGGGCAAGCTGCTGGGAGGCCAGGCAGCCCCTGAGCTGCAGGGGTGTTTGGTCCTTCCCTCTGTGGTGGTGGCACTCCCTGGGGCCAGCCAGACAGGCTGACAGCAGGCCATGTGCTGCCTGAGCTACCAGGGGCCTGATCCAACTTCCCCAGAGCCTGCCAGCTCTCCCATGATCCTGCCCAGGCTTCCAGTTCCTTGCACATCATCCCCACCATCTTCTCCCACCACCCAGTCACCCTACTGACACCCCTCTGGTCAGGCGGGGTCAACTGATACATCGGATCTACAAAAATCCAACTTTTTTGTATGAAAATATAGGTTCGACCTATACAGTGTGTCGAATTATACACCGTAAAATATGGTAAATTGATTATGCGAAGGATTACGTGCTGAACCAGCTATTTAGTAACTTATTTTTAGGGTCGGTCAGGAACCACATTTCCATCCACCAAGAAGTTCAGAAATCTAGATATTGTGGAAGACATTTAGTTCCACTTTTGTACAAAAATGTAATCAGATTAATGTTAAATACAGCTTAAAATTCATGCCCCCTGCCCCCACGGCTGGATGGGGCCAGGCCACACTCCTTTCCCCCTGTGGGGGCCAGGCTGGGGCTGGGTCATGACTCCTTTCCCTGGTGGGGCCACATCAATCTCCCTTTCCCCCTACAAGGCTGGGCCACACCCCTGCGGGTCAGGTTGAGGCTGCGCTATGCTCCTTTTCTCCCACAGGGCTGAGTCATGCCCACTTCCCCACTCCCCCAACAGGGCTGAGTTGGGGCTAGGCCATGCCCAGGTTGGAGCTGGGCAACCCTCTGCTGTGATTGCCCCATAATGGATCAGGACCACTAGCCAGATCTAGCCTGTGGATGGCCTGGGCACTGCCCATCTGGCCTAAAAGGTTGAGCACCACTGGCATAGAGCATGCCCTTTATAATCATAGACTCATAGAAAATTATGGTTAGATGGGACCTCAGAAGATCATCTAGTCCAACCCGTTGCTCAAAGCAGAACCATCCCCAACTAGATCATCCCAGCCAAGAAATGTAGAGCACTAATTCAGAAAGACATCAATCAGCTTATTAGTGAGTAACAGTGAGTGGGGTACAGAAAAGGCTTTTAGTACCATAGCCTTAACAAGGGACAAAAAGAAAGATACAACCCAACTCTTAGAATCCAAATCAAAATGAGCATGCGGATGTTTCCAATAAGTTGTGCTGCTTTCAGTGAGCAAAGTGACAGCGCAACATGTTAGATTTTGTATTTTACTATTAAAAATACTATCAAGAGAGGACAGTTTGCTCTTCCACATTTGCTAAGTGAACGAACAACTGCAGATATTATGAACAAAGGGCAGATAGGATTACATAGCAGCAAAAAAAGGCAGTCCTAAAATAGAACAATACTGGTATCCTGGTAGGACATCCATTCAGGCCTGTTCCCACTCAGTGTCAAGAGATATGGGAATGAAATAATATTCTTATTCTTTTGCCTTGTCAAAATAAAAATTGGTGGTTGGCTTTCTAGCAGTTCCTCATCCCTGAAATGTTGTCTAGGGTCCCTCAAGTCCTGTTCAGGTTTGATTAATGTTTGTACCTGGTCAAGAAAGTGTCTTCTTAAGTACTCCATGGCCTGGAGTATGCCCCTAGGAAGTGGATGACTTGTTCTCTGAACATTTAAAAGTAACGGAACCCCAAATACATTTTTGTCCTTATAGTCAGGGGCTTTTATTTTTCTAATGAACTTTGGAACAGTCCTGAAAAGAAACACAAGATACATTCAAACCATTAGGTGCCTTCTTTCATTTCAGTGAAATACAGACCATTTCCCTCTCCCCACAGCTTATCTCACATACTCTTGAGAAAATGTACACACTCTCTCTCTTGCTTCCCAAAATACTGCTGTGCTATCAGGGCATCATATAGTGAAGAGAGCAACGGAAGAGAGATACAGTAGCAGACTCATGTGTCTTAAGTCTCTTAAAGCACTAAGATACATATCCTAGAATGACATCAGGTTAGCATCCAACTTAAATTTTGTTCAGAGTATGTTTTTGCATGATATGCTACCACCTGTCTGTTAGGTCACTCTCAGTAGTTGGTGGCTTTTATCATCATTTTTAATTTCCAGCCCAGATAGGAGGAGGATGGGTTTGACCATCTCTTTCTGGCCTTGCTCATTCCCTCTGAACATATATATCTACACTGTTGAAGAACCATGCTAAGGAGAACTTTGGTTAAGCATGGCAGCCTGAAATGGATGTGATGCAGAAGTCTTAATGAAGCTCTAAGCGTAATCTCTCCAATTTGGGCATACTCATTAGCAGGGTGCCCAGTGCGATAGTAAAGTCAGCTACATTATTGCTCTTTAAGGGGCTGTGCAGGTAGAAATTAATCCCTAGCACACTCATTTGACAGTGCCCTTTGCCACAGCAGAGGTTCTGTAGTAAAATCCTACAGAACAAGCAAATTTAGTGAGAAAGCTTAGACCAAAGCTTTGACCATTTAAAATAAACAACAAAGCTGGCACCCAGAAGAGAGATTTGGAACATTTTAACCCACGTTTATACCTGACCTCACTGAAATCTAAAACAAAACTTCCAGTAAGTCAGTGAGGAGCAAACAGCATCCTATATATGTAGAGGCTGGATACTGTAGGAAATCCACCTGCTTACACCAATCATCACTTTTCCTTAAGTGGCACATTTTAATATTTGTTAACTTACCAATTCCAGCCCTGTTTGCTGGATGGTGAATATTTATCCATTAAAGCAGTGAGTTTCAACAAAGCAAGTTTCTGAATTCGGTTTAGATGGGCTGCTGACTGGTTATCAATTTGCACAGAAAGGTTTTCCAAGTTTCCACTCTCTTCTGTAGACCAGTGCCGTCTTATGTGCCTAAGGAGTAAATATTGCTTGGATTAAAAAGAAAGTTCTTATTGACATTATCAGCTATTTGCCTAAAACAGCTGAACACCTATTAAAAACTCTTTTATTGACAATCAACTTAATAAACGTCCTGGTGTTTCCAAGCCGATTTCTCTCATCTGAAAAGTGATGCAGCAATATAAAAAGCTTAAAAAAGAGATATTTAAAATCAGGATTTCTATCTAGGGCTTTAAGTGGCTTCTTAGCACCAGGAGACAGGAGCACTTAGATTTCAATGGTGCTTGGATCTGACTAGTTTACAGGCTCACCCAACTTTAAAATAGATTTACATTTCCCATAATTTCGGGGGGAAAAAATGGTGTTTTAAACTGAGAGGATGGCAGAAGGGAAGGCTTGGTTGGGGGTGGGGGAAGGAGTTGCCAAGACAAATGAGGCTGACCTGCTAGAATGGGATCCAGTCTCCAAGTCAGTTACATATGGCAGGTCACCGATGTGCCTGCAATTTTGTTCTCCTTCAACTGTGGACAGATTTTCTGCTTTCCCTTCTGAATGCTTTATTTCAAGGTGTATTTCTTTAGGGAAGGATGGGCAAGGAGATGTTGTATCATTAGCAAAGTCAGAGTCTCCATCATCTGAGAACTTTTCAGTCCACTGACTAACCAGCCTTCTGAGCCCATTAACATGTTCCATAACATTGTCGAGTTCTGAAAAAACATCGTCATCACCAACTTCTGCCTCCACTTTACTTAGATGAAAAGGTATGCTGGGCACATTGTCATATATACTCAGCCTGTTATCCGTGAATGAAAGAGGGCTTGCGGGGGTTTCAGAGTCCTTACAACTGGTTCTAATCCTATTTCTTCTCCATCCATGAAAGCTCCCAGTTCTCCAGTTCACGGAAGTATTGTCCATTGGTGAAAGGAAACTGTTTGTAAGTGCTTTAGGGAATGTCCCAGGCTTATGGCCTTGCGGTATTTGAAACATTTGGTTAGCCTGCAAATTTATTTCGTTATTTAAGTTTTGCTCAGATATATCACTCCACAGCATGAGCTTACTAGAATCAAAATCCTCTGCATACATCCCTCCTCTTTTATTGTGACTCCTGACTTTGATAACAGGACTTGGGGTGCTGACTGTGCTACTGTTTTCAGACGGGCTGCTGCTGCTACAAGTCTGGGGAGAATAGGAAGAATTCTTTTTCATCTGACTATCTGATAGGTCACAAATATTCACACAGTTAAAGTTTTTTAGCTTTTCTTCATCAAGTCCTTCCAGTAGAACAGGTTCACTTATTATGGGTTTAACCTTTGAGTGACCATCTCTCTTCAGACTGGTGTTCTTTATGCGCAGCTTCTCCATTTTCTTTAGAAAGGTCTTTCCCTTTTTATGCGGTGGCTTGTCCAAAAACTTCTCTTCACTGATGATGCTTAAGAATTCACTGGGCGAAGGAGACCCACTAAGGGTGGAATCAGGTGAGGCCACTTTACTCGAGGAACACCTTGAGGAACTTCTGCTGGTCTCAATATCTTCAAAAGTCTTTGGGAAGCTAATAATGTCACTGTCTCCACTGCTAGTACTGTGGATTGAGGACGCATCGTGTTTCCCTCCGTGGTCTGAAAAGGATATATCCTCACTACCGGTGCTCTTAAGTCTTGGACTGTCTGGGACTGATGCACTAGAACCTTCTTCTCCAGGGGAACCGTCTAGGCTCTCCAGACGAGACCACCTCTGACTGCACCTCTCATAAGCCCATTTGTTACTTATTGCACAAGGTTCCTCATCTTCAGATTCATCACTCTTAAAATAAAGAAAGTACAGTTCAAGGAGCAAAGTCCAGCAGGTTTTAAAATATCTAAGACATAATAAAAAAAGGAGATTTAATTTTTATATTTGCTTCTGAAACCCTGGGTACTTTTATATGTCGTTTTATCTACTGTAACAACATTCAGTTGAAAGCTCTTTGTCATGAGCTATACTTTCCAATCAAGTGTTTTAGGGGCAGAAAGAGATCTAAGCTTCTGGACATTTTAGTCAACTTACTACCACCAGAGAGAACAGAGTTGACATGAAGATGCAAATTCTGCTTGGAAGAAAATGTTGAGCTTTTGCAATGTGATTTTTTTACCCATATGTGAACAAAACCAAGCCTTTTGAACATGTTTGTGAAAAGTAATTTTGTCAATACATCTGCCAGGGATCAAAATTTAAGATTTTTGATTAAGGAAAGAGTTATCACTGGCCTAGGATTTGAAAGACTCGGCTTCAAATTCCAGTTCTGCCTAATTTGGTGCAGGAACTTTAACTTATCTTTCCACATCCTGAATAGATGCTCTAACCATTAGGGAACTAGGACATCTGGGGCAGGGGAGAGCTGGTGTCCTCTTCCTCCCCAATATGGAAAGCAAAACATTTCAAAATCTCAACATATTTTTTTAAATAAAAAGAAGTTGCTTTTTCCTGACTGGTCCTTTAGCTAATTTGAAACAGTTTACAAATCCTAAAGGTAGGCAAGGCAAGTTATAGCTTTAATTCAGGTTCGTTAAAGTAAATCCTCTGCTTCTCCCATTTTCTTCTGAGAAAGAGAAACTGGAAGTGTCAAAGAATGGATGGACATGAAAACTAAATGGGTATGCCAACATCATGGTAACAGTGCGTTTAGATGTAGACACTCCTGAACATGCCCCACCTGCCCACACTCCTAACCTGGAAATATGACAATCAGGCCTTTCTTCTATGGTCAGTCTCAAGACCTTAATCTGTAGTATGCCAGAGAGCAGCTGTAGAAGGGAACCCCTGAGCTTACTCACAAGTGCACTTGTGTGTTCAGACTGTGCCTGGGAGCATGGGTTGCTGGGGCATGCTTTAGGAAAAACTTTGCTGTTCTTGCTGCAGGGCAGACCTGCTTCTAGTAACCTCACATACATCCAAAGCCCCAAATTGGTTGAATTTTCATTTAACAAGGCAATGATGGGCACAAACTTGTACTTTTTTATATAAACAACCTTTTTTAAAATTAAAAAGTGCACTAGCTGACTAATCTATGAAATGAAAATTGCATAGAATTTTTTGTGGATTATGCTCATACAGTACCTTTAAATTTCTTAGGCACAAATGTATGCATTTCCTATGACAGGTTAACTCCCTGACCACACAAATAAAGTCAATGGAAAAAGTTAATCCTTAACAGATCATCTTTATGTGGACCTGCAATTTACAGAGCATTTTAAATACCAGTTAGTCATGTTTTAGAGAAAACAAACACAGTTTAGAGGCATACCCTCTTCCTCTGTCGACTTATTTCCACTTTCATTGCTGCGCATTTGTTTAGTGTGTTTAACCGTCTAGAGAAAAGGAAAAAAAAAAGACTTAAAGTTTTAACTCAAATAATGTTAACTAAAAGCAGACATTGTCTGAACTGGTCCTGAAATCTTCAAAGAAATCTGAAGATCTGTCAGCAACAACTGACATTCTGCTCCAGGCTCCTTAAATGCCCCAAGACCAAATGAGGTCACTGGTTGTGTGATGCTCATAGCTACAATTGTGTCCTTGCAACATTTGAGGGGAAAAAAAGAAGTCACAATAATTAATATACTATACTGTGATTTCGTACAAATTTAGAAAGAGCTTTGTCAATCATATAGAAGACACTAAAACCTTTTGAGATTTTGATAAAGAAGAAATTGAGAGTCAAATTATTTTTTAAAAAGATTACTGGCAGTTTTTTACATTAGGTATGGCAATTAAGATAATCTTATTTTTTGTTGTAATCACTTAAACTGAAAACTGCAAGTTCAGAAAAGACCCAAACTAGCCCAAATATTTAAAAACATGAGCAACCCCTTCAACATCAGTGGGACTACCCATGGGTGGAAGGAAAAGAATGATCTGGATTAAACAATCCAATTTAAAGAAAAGCAACAGTATGAATGAAAATGCCAGATAATTTCATAATCTTTAGTATCTGCCCTGAGAAAACATACATACACACACACACACACACACACACACAATATCCTTTCCCTTCCAAGACAAGGGCAACAGCAGGACATGAACTTAGGCACTTTAACACTAAGTGCATGTTGACACTGCAAATGCACTGTGCCAGGCAACAGCACCCCTGAATACACTATGCTGTTTCATGGGGGTACCTGCTGCAGCAACATTTTAATGCAACTATGTTGCTTCCTGTCCAGGTAATAACCTGCATAGCATGTCAGAGGGCACCACTGGCTCACATAGCAAATTTGCAGTGTAAAAGTACATTAAAGTTATGGGCTGCTAGCACTTTGGTTAGAGGAGTAACTCTTAGGCCCTCACTTGCTGCAAATATTTATGTGCTCATTTGTATCAGCTACTAGATGTGGGCAAAGCCCATACCATGCCACGCATGGGCTACAGGTCACAAGTGACCACACATGAATAAAAAAAGCTTAAAAAAAAAAGATATGAGGAAAAAAATGCACCATGAGTAATTACACTAGCACTCCCATGTGGGGGAAGTCCATAAAACAGATGAGAGTTACTGTGCACCAACAAACCAAATTTACCTGTGTACTACACAAGTTCTGGCAAGATGTCAGCATTTGAACAGTGGTTTCATCTCTTACTCAAGAACCTCTTGAGAAAAATGAGAGCAAACATGTGGTGTTTAATTACTGCAATTTGTTTTTGCTAGTAATTTACAGTATCATTTCTCTGGAAGTGCAAAAAAAGACAATCCAAACAACAAACCTGTAAGATTTAGATGTGGAAGAGAGCTTTAATTCCAGCAAAAAAACCCTAAAAACCCCACCAACTAATAATTCTGACATATGGTTCTGATGGTCACTAAACAAAGTGATAGAAGTATTCTCACTCCCTGTAGACAACACTTTAGACAGATAAAATAAAGTTGATGCTTTATGCTACAGAAGGCACAGACAGAAGTGCAGCTCCCCAATCTAGCCCATGGAGCTTCACAGAAAGTGTCGTGAGTTAGACCAACCCTCCCAACCCAAAAGATAGTAGCTGTCTCAGGATGAGACGGGGAGAAGGAAAAGGAGCGAGGTGCATTCTGGGGTTTACCCAGCCATGCTGGAGGGGGTGGGATTTGAGCCCTTCACATTGAGGGGGCTCCAATCCACTCCCCCCTTCCCTCTAGTGTAGGCTGGGCAAACCCCAGAACAGATCTCCCTCCCCTGCCTTCTCCCCCTCCCATCCTAAGAGAGCACCAGGGGTGGAACTGAGCTACTTCAGCCCAGCCAACAGAGCAGACAGAAGTTAACGAAGGCGCTCTGCTTTGGAGTGCCTTTATTTGAACCCTCATATAATGACAGTTAATTTGTTGCAATTGGAGTGCTCTGCAGCTGTACTCTTTTGTTTGGCCATGGCGGTAGAGTGCTTTCAAGGGGCCAATTGTGCAACAAATATAATGAGCCTACAGATAGGCATTCAGGCCTTAAGTCAGGAAAGCACTTATGTACATAAAAGGTAAATATGGGCTTAAGTTTTTTTTTTTAAATCATGAGGTGTGCTTAAGTGTGTGCTTAAGAGATTTTATGAGGTATATGCTTCCATGAGTAACCTGTTAAACCAGAAAAAGCCATACCCACAAAAATATAGGAGCTGTTTTCTTGTGTGTAGAGGCTGAAGCAAAATTATTATATTTACCTGAATAGAGATTCAATAGCATCAGGATCTAAAAATTCATGATCTTTCCTCACAGTTTTGATGTCAATAGGAAACTGCATGTCTGTGAATACAAAATATTTATTTATAATAATTTTTGAAGGATCATAGTATCTTCCAAAAAACTAAGACTATGCTTGACATTTCAGTTTAATCTGGATAAAACTACAGTAATTTTTTTATAGATCTGTTCCTGCACAGGTCATACATCTAACTAAGGTCCCAATCCTCCATAGAGCAACACCTGAGTAATTTTACCTACTTGCCATCAATGGGATTACTTGCATACACATGAGTAATTGTTGGATGGAAGCTAAATGTTTGAAGACACTGCCATTGGATTGCATTAAGGTCAACAAATTAAGCATATAAGCTAAAACATATAAAGTTGAGAATAAAATCTCTACTTTCAGTCTGTCTGTCTCATATGCACCTGCCTTTAAAAATAGTGTTTTAATATTGCCTGTAAGTAGGATGAAACACATTTTTTATTAACTTGAATATAAAAAGGTGTGGACCACTACACAGCTACTCGAGCTTTAATGGGATCTACAAAATATACCCGCCATCCCAGATTTTGATATCTGCCCTCCCAGACTGAGAAACCTCCAAAATCTATTGACAATACTTTCTAGGCTTATTTTATAGATCTCAATGAGACTTAAGCATCTCACCAAGTTTGAGCATTGCATTTTTGTTAATAGAGAGTGTTTATTGTATAGTATAATATATTGAACATGTATAAAACATAAATTTGCCTACAAAATGACATCTTACATCCACAATCATCTAACAGTAAGAACTCTCTTGAGACTCCACAGCTGGGATGAGGGGGTGCTTGCAAGTTGCTGGAATGAAACAGCAAACTGAAAGGCAGAGTTCACTCTTCAGGGTGCTGTTGAACTGGTAGTCGTTTTTGGCTGAACAGCAGCAGCTGTCAAAGGGTTAACACTCTAGCTTTTGCTGATGTTGCAGTGTGCACTCTACCTCTGTAGTCAGAATTTAGCCATGACTGGAAAAATCTTTTTTGAATTAATGTTGCCTTCCCTTGCCTTATTTGAGGGAGGGGGTATACAAGAAATGCAGCACATGGTAATTTATCATCATACTGTACCTTCAAATAACTGAGCATATTGAGGAAAGCCAGCAGCCCTCAGCCAGTCGCAGGCTTCTTTGGCTTCAATTTCTGTAATAAAATATAAAAACACAAAGGTCAGTTTTCAGAGGTTAACAGGAGGTTGACAGATCCATAAGACTAGTGACTTCCATAAAAATGGAGTTACTTATTTCGTATAACTCCAAGAAAATGAATTTCTGAGGAATCTTGTGTATGTGGTTTCTATTAGCATGTTTTTGAAAAATGACATTTAAAAAAACAAACAAATACACACACTGCTAGCTTTCATCCCACTATGGAGAAGGTACACCAAACAAACCGCTGCATACTGACCACTGCATATTATGTCATCCATCTGTGAAGGTCTTATGTTCTGAAGTATCTCTAATATGTTTTGAATGAGTAATCAAAAATGGCATGTGATACATATATCCAGTTACTAAGATATCAATGCCCAACCAAGCATTCTGATCCTTAGACACGATGGTAGGACTAGGACAAATATATCAGATAATACCATAATTAGACTGAAAGAGCTGCTACAACACTAACAGAACTTTACTTATGCATTATTGGAAATGAGAGCTGTCTACAGTACCTGTTGCTAGGGTCTTTCAATATTTATTTCCTTGCCAACTACCAGTTCCACTTGGCAGTTACTTCAGTACAACAGATGTCAGGAATCAACTGCTCATTTTGTGGCAATTAATAAAGCTCTATGACCAATACTACAACATTCCCACAGGAGCAGAAGCAAAACATAACCTTACAGAATTACAGAACACTCACCAGATCCCTTAAAAATGTAAACATGTTTAGTATGCTTCTGGAAGAGCACATACCAGCAGCCTCTAAACTGCACAAATATTGGAAATTACTGTTTACTGTGAAGGAGAAGAAACGCAGACTGCACTCTTCTGTCTGGGGACTCTGCTAGTTCTTTAGTTACAACTCTGATATCAACCAAGCTGCCAAGGCTTGCCTCACGCACGGCTTTAATGAGAGTTTCAAAATCTAGTTTCCTAAAATGTGTTTTCTGTCCAAAAATGGAACTCTGAAGACATTCTGTATGTTGATTTGTTAAAATGCATTGCCCAACTTTGCTTGTAGTATTCAGTAGACAATTATCAGTTTAACAAGGTGAAACAATTCACCTAAGTATCTTTAGCAATCTACCAATTGTTGGCATGCATCTGGTATGCACTTGCCAAGGCATCTTGAGCAAGGCTAAGGATGTCATCCACCCGCTCTACTTGGCCTTGGTGAGATCGCAGCTGGAGTACTGCGCCCAGTTCTGGGCACCGCACTTCAGGAAGAATGTGGAGAAGTACAAGAGAGTTCATAGGAGGGCCGTGTGCATGATTAGGGACCTACAGACTAGGTCATACAAGGAGAGGCTGAAAGACTTGGGACTGTTCAGCCTGGAGAAGAAGACAGAGGGGACTTGGTAGCAGCCTACAAGTATATCAGGGGTGTACATCAGGGCTTGGGGGAGCATCTATTCATCAAGGCCCCCTGGGGGAGGACAAGAAATAATGGGCACAAACTAACTGAAGATCACTTCAGACTAGACATAAGGAAAAACTTCTTTACAAGTCGAGCGTAAAGAATGCTCCCCGCAGAAGTGGTACAGTTACTCACCCTGGCGATCTTCAAAAAGCATCTTGATGCCCATCTTGCTGGGATCATCTGACCCCAGCAGTCTTTCCTGCCCAAGTGCAGGGGGTCTGGACCCAATGAACTGTAGGGTCTCATCCAGCCTCTAACATCTATGAAACCATAAGTTTATTGTCTTCCTGTTCACAAAGCAACCTCTCTTTCTGAATCAGTTACAGTGATAAATGTAAATTAGCTGTTTGATTAGTTACAGCAAATTTCTATTCATAGTACTGACTTTGTAATGCACAACTCTGCAACCATTTTCAACTTCAGGTAAAGAGGAAGTTTGAAATGATAAAAACATGTCTTTGAAATACAAACCAGATGCATCCTCTCTATCTTTAGAATATGATATACATGCTTTTTTCTTCTCCAAGCCCAGACTACCCACATCATTGCTGCTGCTCACACTAATGTTCATGTGTAAGGCCTGGAGACAATTCAACTCAAACTTTAATCAGAGAATAACATTATGTAAGCAAGAAGCAGGAACAAAGTGATAGCACACTGGCACTGTTTTGCAAATGACATTCCTCCAATATGGGAAAGAAGAGAAGAAAAGGTTTAATCGTCTTCACTAAAGAAAAGAAAAAGAGGCTTGGTCTTGAGTTCGCTAACCTAAGATAAAGTCCTGCAAAAGAGAAGGCAGTTTATACATATTCACCCAAGCTACCAGTTCACAGCCAATCCTAGGCAAGCCCAGAATCTAAATTGCCTTATCTTCAGTAGGGCTTTACATCTTGTCTACTCCAAGCACACCTGGGTTCCAGTGAAAATGGAAGAGCACTCTCTCACAGAAATGTTAAATAGTTTTCCCAAATTAAAGTAATCCAGTGTTTCCTTCTAAAACTGCAGCTGTTTCTACTATAAGCAGAATCAAGAAAAACTAATTAAAAAATGACAGCTTAGATGACAATGTACAATTACTAGCATCTACAATTACTAACATCTACATTTGTGTATCGGATTGGAAACTAAATGACCTTTTCCTGACTAGAGGCAGTCCTTTTCAGAGAAGGTTAGAACCAGGGTGAATAAAAATCAATGATTTTTTTAAAGTAAAAAATTTGATGTCTTTATTTAAATCAGATTTTTATTATTTATTCAGATTTTTGTTAAGATACTTTAAAAAAACCAACGCTGTATAAAGATAGTTTTAATTTAAGATAAAGCTCAAAGATATCATCATGGGATAGAGATTATAACTTCTAAGCATATGCTATTTGAGACAATATATTCATGTAACCTTTTTAGAAAAGTTTTATAAATAGGCCACAACAGACCATGGACTATATTAGGGGCCCAATTTTATGGGGTTCCCAGAGGCTCCTTTATAGATTAGTAAAAAATATTAAAGAAAACCACTCTACCCAATGAGACTCAGTGCTCAGTCTAAAATAGCGTTTCTCAACCCATGGGTCGCAAGACTATTTCAAGGGTTGCAAGCTGTGGCAAGGCAGAGGATGGCGGGAAGGCACCTGCCCCTTCCAGTGGGGTAAGGGGGAGAGCTGCGTGGCCGGGCTGGCAGCACCAGGGCTGGTGCCCATGCTCAAATGGACAGGGCAACAAGGAGATGCTGCTCAGAGGGTGGGAAGGACCATGATCAGGCTGCTTGGTGCAGCACAGCAGCCCCAGCCCAGGGCAGGGGGGTGCCACAGACCTTTCCTCCTCCTTCCTCTAACCCATGCCACGGTCAGACTTGCTCCATTGCTGCCCATATGAGCCGGAGCTACCGCAGTGACTACATTCTGGCCTGCGCAGGATGGGGGCAGCTGGGGGCACTGTCAGCAGGGCTGGAGGGAGCCAGGGGGCTGCGGGTCAGGCACCAGCAGGGCCAGGTGGGTGTGGGTTGGGACAGGCCATGGATATTTACACGTGGGTCCCGGTAGGAAAAAGGTTGAGAACCACTGGTTTAGAAGAGCCCATTTAGCATTTCTGTGATGCTTAGTTTCAGTTCTCAGTGTCTCCAGAGATAAAATCCTTGCTAACAGCAGTATATGGTGATGAGAGATAACAGACATGATTACCTACCCATCAGCCCTCTTGTCTCTCTGCAAGTCCATGTCCATAATCAAGTCCTTACCTTTCTCTAAAACTGAAAAGTTTCAAGAAGTAAAATGAATAAAGGATATCAAACAATAAGAATGCACTTTGTAGAAAACAAGGATTCAGTTGAGGCTTCCTGAACAGCGATTGAAATTATGATTTAAATCAATTTAATTTAAATCAAATCCACCCTGGTTAGGACTGCTTGGTAAAGCTTTCACTGCTGCTGCAGGTCTTTTGACACAACACTTCCCACAACCATTACTCTCCAAAGCTTCTTAAATTCTAATAACTTCACCTTTGCTATCAGACTTACATATGGGAACCACCAGACTTCTGCCAGGTCCCTACAGATAATTCTAAGTTAAATCACTTCAAAATGTTCTGATAGTGACTATTTCATTGCTGGAAACAGCAACTAAAATGCTGTAAAGGATCTGTTTTGGTGCTACTAAAGATCAATGAGAAACTCCTCCTAATTTTAATGAAAATTAAAACAAATGAAAAATGGGTGCTCAGCACTTCATAGATTTAATAGATTTCATAGACGTTAGGGCTGGAAGGGACCTCGAAGATCATCAAGTCCAGCCCCGTGCCCCAGGGGCAGGAAGTCAGCTAGGTTCAAAAGGACCCCGGCAAGATAAGCATCCAAGCGTTTCTTGAATAAGTCCAGAGTAGGTGCCTGCACCACATCTGGAGGGAGTCTATTCCAGGTCTTGGGGGCTCGAACAGTAAAGACATTTTTTCTTATGTCCAGCCTAAAGCGGTCTTGTAGGAATTTATGATCTAGTGAAATTGCCAGAGAAACCAGTATCAAAATTATGATTACCATAATCGTCATAGGAGGAAGAAATAAAAGGATATGCATGAGCTACATGAGACTGTGAGCTGCCAGGCTGCTTTGGAACGACACAGCATTGAGCATGATGGTGTATGAATTTTGATGAACAACAGAAAACATGGTGGTTTTGGTAACGGTGTTGTGAATTTCCTACTGGTGGAAGAACACTAAGAGCTCCAGTAGCTCAGGAATAAGAAATGCAAACATCTAAAAATAAGCAGTAGTCACAAAAGTCTTCAAAGCATAGGACAGGATGAATCCATCCATCTTGGGCACTGACTACTATTGAGCTTATACAAGAAATTAACAAGTCCTGGTTTCACAACAACACTAGAATTATGGAGACAGTCCTGTAAACTTGCACAGTGTTTGAAAATGAATAAAAGAGCTGCTAAAAAGCAGTTAGGTCTAAATTGTACTCCAAGAGCCGTCTATGCTGAGCAGAGTCCATCTTCTTACACCTACTTGGCCTATTGAAAAGGTCGCCCATATGATTTTCAATCAGGGAAACAGCACAGCTTAGTGGTTTATTCAGAAAACAGTCATGAATTTCTGATTCTAATCTCTGCTCTACCTCAGGGCCATGCTACCTCTCCTAATCTGTAATAAGGATACCAGAACCTGCAATTTATTTGTACAGTTCTTAACAAAAAGGTGTAAAAATGTACTAGTTATTATTAACTACCAACCTCATTAATAATTAGAATTTGTTCTCCCACATCTATTTACAAAAGTATTATACCAAGGGGTATCAATAGGTTTACTGATTAACTTTGAAAATAGGTGTGCTCGTAATAAGGGATTCATTTTACGTTGCTCAGATGATCACTGGGGAGGAGTCAGCTCTTTCCCAATAGCAGCAGGAAATGGGAGGACCTTTGAAGAGCTGGCACAGCAAATTTTATGGAATGACAGCCTCCCCTTTAGGCTTGGTTTGAGCAGAAGTGGCTTCTGAGGAAAACAGCTTTCTAGAGATCTTACAGTATTATCTGCATGCAGCATGAAATACCAGAGAACCTTCAGTGCGTCAACTCCCCCTCACACGCTACATAAGTTTGATTTTACAAATATTTAAAAGCAGTTGAAACATCCCCATTTCCTGCAAGCCTCATTAGTCAATCAGAGATTAGAGGCTGCTAGCAGCACTTTAAAGTTAGCTTTTTTCCCTTGGGCCAAAGGTTGCCAAATTCTTATGGGAAACAAAATAATATATATGTAACTTATGCCAGTTTTCCATTTCTTATTATAATATAGAGTTATACAGAGTGGTTATCAAGTAACCAACATTTTGAAGGGGTTAGCAGGTATATGAGGTCCAAAACTGAACAGACACTACACTAACCAACATTTTAAAAAAACCATAAAATATTCTTATTAAGTGCCCATGAAAAAAAAATGTGTTGGTTGAGACATTCTCTTTGCAGCATTTTCTATCCAAGATTGTTCTGGGCTAGCATGGAAAAGGCAAACCATGAAACTAAGCCGAAACAAAGCATGAAACAGACTAATTATAGTCTAATATTAGTCCAAGATAAAGTATTCCAAGGAAATAAGCAACGTGAATGGCCATTTGTACTTTGATATTACATACTGAAATAAAGTATTTTTAATGCCAAAATCTACTATTATAACAGGTTCAGATTCCTGTTTTAAACTACAGCATGGAAAGAGAATTTGGTGTGTTTAAGTTTGAAACTGTACCCAAACCAGGCACACATGCAAAAACTCTTGAGCTTTCTGTTCACAGACCCTTTATCAATTAAGCCAAAGACTTCCTTCACACCATTAGGTGTAATGAATTACATAGGAAGCTGGTAAAGAAAAGTAACAGATTCGCTCAATACTCCCAGCTCATCGTGGCAGGTTCAAAGGGCAGAACATAAATAGCATAGGATTGATATTCTAACTTTACCTGTAGTACTAATGTATGAGACGTTTGTAATAAGAGAAACAGAAATAATTCCAAAGGGATATCCCTTGCTGATATGTGAAGGATTTTCCCTTAAGACACTAATCGTACTATGACAGCAAAAAACAAACTCACACAAAACAAGTCTTTTTTTGGAACCGACTTGATATAAAACAGCAAAGCAAAGTGTCCCAGTACTAATCTGTTGTTGCTGCTGCTTCCCATCACTGGCAGCTCTGAGTCTATTGTCCTTCCCAGCCTCCTCCATATGCTCAAGAACTGGAGTCGACATGTATGGGACGTGCTTGGCAGCTGCAACAGCCAGATGCCAAACTCTGGAATGCATTTTTCCTATACCACATGAGCCTACCCCATCAGCAAACTAGCTGACAGGTTCTTTGTGCAGTCTCTTGGATGGTTTCATTGTTGGCTACACTTGCAGCTGTGGAGTTGACTTGGGGGTTGATATGGGGTCAGGTTGCTGAAAAATGTATTAGTTCTTTCTGATACCACCATTGGTCTGCATTTCTTCTTGTATCTGTAAAAATGCATTTAAATTGCCCACAAGCTACAGCAGCTAAAAAAGCAATTCCCTTCTATACCAATCTGAAAAAGTACTGGGCTAGATGCTGTTCCAGGGAGTTATCATGAATTAGATTATAGCCTCCAGCTATGCAAAGTGTCACATCTTAAGCAGATTCTTTTTATTAAGTCAATATGTGTTAATGAAGCATCTGACCAATGTTCAAGGTTGGAATTTTATGCCTTTAAAACAGACTGTTTGCACTGACCAGTTTAGAAAAAATGGGCCAAACGCTCATGACCTGTAACACCATCATAAAACATTAGCCCACATAGATGAGAACGGGAACAAATTAAATGTATGCACTTAACTAATGCATAATCCTAATTAAATAAAAACTAAATGTTTTATTATCCCATCAAAAACATTTGTTACTTGACTGCAGAAGTTGGACAGGAGTTTGCCAGGAGGATTTTGGCTACATGTGAAATTGAGGTTAACACAACATGATCTGATCTTCCATTCTCACTTTGGTGTCATGTTGGTGCATGTGTTGCAGTGTATTATGTGTGTCCAATGTGACCTAATGGTTCATTTAATAGCTGCAACATTACTTCTAATGCAAATTAGAGCGATTCCAAAATTTTATTATACATCTCCATTTGGGGTCAATTTGTCCCATCCCAATCCTTTGTGGCAGCCTTATTCAACTACCCTGATTCTGAAAGTATAATCCTTAGGACAATGATACCCTTAGGTTGATTACTAGAAGGGCTAAGTGTAGCACTTCTCCTTTACGCACAGAGCACCCCCCAATTAGAAAAACAAAAAATATTAGGTCAGATATCATTAACTAGGTTTTGGAGGGGCCCAAATAAGATTGTTGCTGCTTTCTTAAAAATAGGTAGATTATAAAGATTATAATTTTTTCACATAAAGACACAGGGGTAGGCAGTCATTCCTGCACTGATTTATAAAGAGCCTAGGGGAACCAGGTACCTAACTTGAACTGAATGTTAATGTGAGACCATCACCCAGCCCACTAACTTCAAATCCCCATCTTGAAAATCTCTGCCAGAAGGTTTGGATTACACAACAGGGACCTCAATCCCCTCAATTCTAACCTCAGATAAGTCACTTCTATGTGCTTTGGTTTACCCAACTGTGAAATGGGAATAAATACATGAGTTGAGGATCAATTTCTCTCGGTGCTTGATGGCCCTTAAGACTTGCTGAATATTAAGTGCCAAATAACTAGCAAGAAGGATAACCAGTTTCATAGTTTATTGATACTCCCATAGCACAAAAATAAACCAGTCCAAGCCAGCCAGATGGGAGTGAATTCATGACATTATAAAGTCTTTCATAATTAAATCTAGCTATTCTACCTATTCCTTAACCCAACAAATACCACTATTAATAGTTCCATAGGCAGCTGGTAAGATAGTTACCTAAGAAGTGATTTATTATCAGTAAGCTGCAGAATGAAAAAGCTCCCGGTAGATTTGCTAGCCCTACCGAGGGATGCAGTACTGAGCTCTACATGTAGCTCAGCCCTCAGATCAGCAGGCAATTTTGTGCACTGCCAATTCTTGCTAATGCAATTTGTTGACTTTCAAAGGCACAAAGCAAAACAAGCTACTGAGGTTTCAGTTAATGTAATTTCCTATGGGCAGCACAGCCCGTCTTTCAAAGTAAAGCTCCTCATTATGAGACAGACTTTAAATATATATACACACCTAAAAACCAGTCAGTATTGCCACTGCATTATCACTGTTTAGTTATTTGAAACTTCCTTACAAGCATTTCAATTGGACTGTTCTGTAAAACTACAATTGCTGGGGTGCAGGGTTGAAGGGTGCCTACCTACACTTCCGTAGTTCCTTTTGTCCTAGAAAGTCGGCTGTGTCCCTGGAGTGTTGCTTTCATTGCTTTGATGGCATTGCATGCCACCATACAGTTTACTTCACCCGCATTACAATCCTGTCCCTGACAGCCAAGATTTTTTAATGTTTCCTGGAAACACAATTGCATCCCTCCAGCTTGGCTTGGCTTGGCTTTTCCTGTCTTCGCTTAAACGTCTCCCCACAACCTATGAATTTCAGCAGCAACTGGGGAATTAGTCATGTTAATAGGGTAAAGATTTCATCCAGACTCTTCAGGCCAGGTGAGATGGGGAAAAGCCACCATTTGTCCTTGCTTTGAACCAAGTCCACAGAGGATGATGAAGTGCGGTGCCGGCCTCCCCGCGTGGACCAGGAGGTCTTGGCCCACGGCTCGGCCGGCCAGTGCCCGGCGCCTGCTCACCATGTAGTGGCTTCAAGTCAGGACGGTTTTGAGACGGGGAGCCCCGAGCTAGACTCCTCCCAGGTGAGCTAGGAGCGGCAGGGCAGTAGGGGGAAGCGGGGCCGAGACGCCGGGGACTCGCGCTGCCCCGTCCCGTCCCGCCCCGCGGCTCCCG